AGATCCCAGGGAGTGGAACATGAGTAGTAAGTCCAGATCAGAGACCAGATCTTCTGATTTAACTAATGATTCTCAACTAAAAGCAACCCTCAATCTACAAAATCTGCCGCAGAACTTTTCAGAACAATCTCGTGTCAAGCAAACCAATAAGTTCGATAAAGGTATCAGACCTGCAACACTCTCATTTTGTGACAGAGGAAGAACTCTAAACAGAATTCTGCAAAATTTGAGAACCTCTGTGCTTTGCTGCTCTGTGCATGTATTCTCCAGACCTTGTGTGATGCTTAACCTCTAGATGCTGTCCTGAGTAGTAAAAATGACCAGCGATTTCTCCAAAAGGAAATGTTATCACAACATATGCTTTTTGAAGTATGAATCTATGTTGGATGGATTGACACAATATCAAAACTCTAAGTGCCCCATTGCTGCTATTTGTACTTAGTGATAAACACCGAAATCAACACTGTGCTTTTATAAAGCTCTTTGATAAGGTTCTTTCATTGAAATCTTGAATTTGAAAACTGTCAGGGAAGTTCCCTCCAGTAATGGTCTACCTGAACAACAAAAACAGAGGAGTACTTTCAGCAACAGCAGATTTAGCTACAGCCATATTCTATATGCTTCTAGGAAGCGGCTGAACCATTGGAATAAACCTTTCTGTGCCATATGTGACTTTGTTGCGTATACCAACCTCCAGGAAAAATATCAGTCTGTAATTCCTCAGGCAGAGCTGAGGTAGGAGCCCGATTAATAGCCGTAGCTGTATCTTGTCCTATGCAACAGGAGATCCTCTTCTGCAGTGTTACTGCAAAGAAAATATTTCACCCCTTGTCCTCCTTGCTCTGTTCCTCCTACCAGCTTCTTTTCTGCTCATTTATCAATCACCCAATGCACTGAGCAATGGTGTTGGGGAGGAAAGCAGGAACAGTCACTATTCCTGAAGTAACTGTTAGAAGCAACTGATATTTATTTTCATCTCAGCGGGGTAACAGGTTTACTCCTTCACAGCTCGTTACACCGCAAGGTAAATTGGGAGGCATGCTCCAGTTTTCTCCAGGTACAAACACAAACCACAGAAGAATTTAGGGTAGAAGGGACCTCTGGATATTATCTGATCCAAGCACTTGTAAAAGCAGGCCAAATTCACACTTCAGGCTAGCTTTCAGCCTTGGTGTACGTCACCAATGTTCACAAGAGAGAGAAATTAACCCACAGTTTGCACGAGCTGACAGATTACAGTCCCATCTTTCCCTCGGATTTCCCATGCCGGGACAGCTTTCAGCAACAGTGCTCAGGTGTCTCTGAAAGTGACTGAGGGGCACTTAGAGAAATCTCTCGTTCCCCCTCTCCACCACTTTGAAGACCGTCTGTCACTAGCTGATGGTGATGAACATGAACATCACCAGTGTGATGCTGAATGGAGCCAGGAGCAGCACTCCGACCTGCTGCAGCTGCTTGTGCCGGGGCTTTGGCTGCAGCTGCATTCGTTGCTTGCCCTAAGGCAGGTGTCCAGCAGCAAGGAGCACAGCCAGACGCTCTCAGAGAAGCTTCCTGAGTCACCTTCACAGGGATCAAGCCTTAGCACAGCCTTCCAAAGGACACTTCCTAACACAAGGTCCACAGAGGTCACCGAAGAGATTTCTTGCAGATCCATGGAGCAAGGACTTCGCAGCTGGAAGCATGGATGGCACCTTCCAGCAGAACGGCGCAGTTCTGAACAGGGCTGTTGGACTGGACCCTGTGGGAGACATGGGCAGAGCACACAAGCAGAGGAACATTAGAGAGGGATCCCCACTTTGACAGGGGGAGGAACACCCCACAGTTTGGAGGTAGGAGACTTGCTGCAACTGGACTTCATGACCCCGTGTCAGGGAAGACCCATCCTGGGACACGGGAGGTCTGGCAGCAGAGCTTGCTGTGCTCGGAGCTTGCTGTGAGACATTCGGTTAGTCAGTCTCATTCTGGGCTCTCCATTTCCCACCACTAAAAACAGAAAAGTCCTGTCCCATAAGGGATTTTGTACTGTTCCGCTTAAGGCATTTGGAGACCTTGGGACAGAAACTATCAAGTATACCAGTTTAAACCTGTGGTATGGGTATGTGGAAGGTGAAAGCTTCTACTTCATTAAAGTTATCCAATCAAGAAGCCTTTCAGTGCAAAAGAGGTTAATAAGGTGGAAACGATTAAACAGAAATCCTCAGAGACACAAACCTGGTGCACATAAAATAACAGAGGCAACTGGCAAAGACCAAAACTCTTCAGCCACTAATTGATGGGCTATCAAGAAACTCTGGGGCACAGCTTTGGAGAGGCACACCCTGGGATTTGTAACTGATAAGAACGGGGGTAAAAAGAGGAACAGGAGGAGTTGGGGTATTTGAGGAGGGCCTGTGTGACTGTGCAAAACTCGTTGAGGAACCCTTAGAGGAAGGGGGGTGAAAAGAGAGGAGGGGATGGGCCATGTGTGAGCAGCTGACGGTGTTCTGAAAGTGCTCATCTGACCCAGCCCAGCCCCTGATCCCTCTCACCGGGCTCAGAGGGGGTGCAGGACCCTGGGTGGCGGTGCCGGGCGCCGGGGGTAGAGGGCTTGTGGCTTCCCCCAGCTCTTTCTGCATGGGACGGGAGTGTGCAATGCCCCGGCAAGCTCCAGGCTGCACTGGCTGGTGAGTGCGAGTCCCTGGGTCTGGGGAGGGGTTGTCGGGTGGGCAGAGGGTCCGTGCTGGTATATGGGGGGAGCACCGTAAGCGTGGGGTGCCTGTGAGACAGGGGTGTGAGTACATGGGTCTGCTCACCAGCGATCACTGAGCTGGACCAGCTGGTGAGCGGGGGACCTGTGGGGTGGGTAAGGGGTGCTGGGGTATGGGCGGGGTGTCAGATGGAGAGGTGCCGTGCCGGTGCTTGGGGGATCTGTGAACGTGTGTGTGTGCTGATGAACCTTGAGAGCGTTGTGTGTGCCTTCACAAGTGAACCAGCCAGAGAGGAGCAAGGGACTTCTCTGCCTGTAGCTGTGCTTTACGTGAGTCCTGGTAGCATTACATGCTGCAGGCAGTGCCTTGTCTGCAGCAGTGTGTGTAGCCAGCCATGGCAGAGTCCTTTGCTTGCATGTGTGTCTGTGTCCGTGTTTGTGCCTCTGGGATACATTCTCAGCTTCACTACTGGTTGAACCTGCAAATGGGAAAGTAGCAGCTGTGTCCCTCACCCTGGGACAGAAACTCCCAGGCCTCTGGGTGGACCCGACTGGGCTCCAGCAGCCAGGCAGGACGAACCCCTCGGTTCTGGAGCTGCTAGAGCCTGCAGATGCTCTGAACATCCCTTAGCAGTTGCATTCATTGTTGGTCAACTTCCCACAGCTACAGATGGGACATTTCATGGAAAAGGGTTAAGGGCATGGGAAGGATCTCAGTCCCTTTATCTAAACATACAGAGGAAGCACCGTACTCACTTCTTGCCACTAAGTTTTGAGCCTTCTTCCCAGGCCCAGTCACCATCAGTGCCATTGCGCAAACCAATCCAATGGAGTTTGGTGTGCATCATCTGGAATAAGTCCTAGGAGGGACAGAGAGGCCGAGAGAGATCAGTAGGCTTGGAGAAACCCAGTCAAGTCCTGGGTTCTGAGGCAGAAAGAAAGGACCACTGGTGAGAGATGGAGTTTTGGGGCCATTTCTCAATGTCCTTTGAACAGCCACACCCTTCCTCCTTAGCCTCCTGACTGCGGGCTCTGAGGGCTGAGCCCACGACAAGCTCAGTGGATGCAGGCAGAGAGAAGCAAGTCCCTCTTGCCAAGTGGCCAAGGGAAAGACTTGCCCCTGCCAGATACAGGAGGGTCGTGAGTACGGGTCCCAGTGCCCTGCGAAGGCCCTTTGGAAGGGGAAGAGGTGGGCAGTACAGTGCCTTGGACCCTCTCCCCCATAATCCTACCGTCCAGCATGGGAAAGGCCCTCTGCCTTTACCACTGCGAAGACACACACCATTTCACTGGTATCGCTGATCACCAGGAGATGAGCTCCCTGCGCCCGGCAGGATTGCTGGCTGGAATACCAGTCCTTCCTCTCCTTGGAGAAGGAGTAGCAGCTCCCTCTGTGAGCTATCCACTTCTCGGGGCAGTGTGGACATGGACAGCCTGCAAAACAATCACACATCTCTCTTCCCGTTCATAGTTGTAGCCTAGTTCATCACAAACAGATTTCACAAATACACCTGATCCAGAAAATTATTTTCCACCAGTACAGTAGTACTGCTGCCCTTGGAGCTCTCCTGAGACTTGCAAAGACAGTGTAATTACCTCTGGAGGGCTCTGTAAAGGGTATCCATTTT